GACAAGAATCCTCTACGGTGTCATTCTTTTAAACTACCGACGAAGCAGGCCCATAAAATGGCTAGAAGAAACGCCTTCTTGCAAAGGGTCGTCGGACCGTCGAACGGAACCCTGACGACTTGTTTCTTTCAGATACTGTTGACACATTTGGAATTACACTATGTTCGCATTTGCTGAGAAATTGTGTCAGATATAATGAACGTGGTGCCAATAGCAGAAGTTTGCCACTGCCTCACACCTGTCACTGGTGTTAAGCCCACATTTTTATAAGGTACTCTTGTTGAGCTTAAATTCTTTTCCAATTTTTGAATAGTAATAGGGAGCTCTAGGGCGAAAACCTTCTTCCTTCAATAAAATGACTTAAGGTGACTTAACACGACCGCAACCTATCGTCACCTATTTTGCTTCTGGAAGTGACTCAAGTATGGGATGCTGCGTTTTCCCTTGAGCGTTTAATGAAAACTAACGCAGAAAATAACATCGTTATGGTGAACAAAATACAAATTAGTGTATCCAGAATTTTGAGCAGTTTTTCAGTACAAATATTCACATCTGGATAAATTCAGCCTAATCGTGGCAACAGAGATATGTCAATCTTTCCTCCCATATCTGCGAATCAGAAATCATATAAAAAACTATATTTTGGAAGTCGTTTCGGCTGAATCAACTACAGAGCGGTCTTGGCACCCAGGTGCGTCTAAAGATAAAAGTTACAGTGGCTGACAAACTGTGCAGAAAGTAAAAAGTAGTATGCGTGAACCTCGGTCGGGAATGTGCACAACCCGGTTTCACGTGCCTACATCCTTGGCCTCAAGTAAATCCTTGAATTCTGTTTAGTCAAAAAGTGCAAACCGTTGAGTTTCGAGAAGATTTATATAACCTGCAATCAAACAGTATTTAAAGTTTGAGTCAGTTGCGGCATGAGATACCTGCGATAAACAAATATCGTAAATCTCATTGGCGTTGGTCAGAAGATGCACACAATTAACGAGTTACCACTAACTCTCCGGTAGAAGGGTGGTTGAAATACCTTATACGAGGCTATTTGGAAGAAAGTAAACCATGATGGTGGTCAAGCTAAATAATAAAGACCAATTCTAGTGTAGATGCAGCACAGCCAGATGAGTACACATTAGGAGGGCATCTTAGGAAGCTATCATAGGCAAATATCCTAAATGTTTGACTTATCCCCTTCTATATTGAACTAAAATGTAGATTTTGAGTGTATGATATGGCACCCAGCATCATGAGTTTACGCCGCAACCAAAATAACTGTAGCGGTGCTGCAGCCCACCGCCTTCAAACGT